TAGATCCTACATTCTAGATCCCAGAATCCAGATCATAGATTCTATATCCTAGATTCTACATCGTAAATTCTAAATCCCAGATTGTAGATCCTAAAGCTTGAAACTATACTCTATATTCTAGATCCTATATCCTAGATTCTGTATTCTAGATTCTAGATTATAAATCTAAGATTTTGGATCTTACATCCTAAATGCCAGATCTTAGATTATAAATCCTAGATCCTAGATCATAAATTCTAAATCCACATTCTAAATTTTAGACTCTAAATCACAGATTCTAGATCCTTGATTCTAGGTTCCAGATCATACATTTTAAATCCTAGATTCTAGATGGTAAATTTTAAATCCACATTCTAGATGTTAGACTCTAAATCACAAATTCTGGATCCTAGATTCCAGTTCGTAAATTCTAAATCCAGATTCTAGGTCTTAGATTCTAAATCCCAGATGCTAGATGTTAGATTATAAATCCCAGATTATAGATCTAAGACATTGCTAAGATTTCCCGTTGAGACTTATCTGTAGAGATCCTGTAGTCCCTTGATTTTAGATCTTAAATTCTAGATCTTATAGCCTAGATTCTAAATTTTAGATTCTAAATCGCAGATCTTAGATACTATATTCTATATCCTAGATCCTATACTTTAGATCCTAGATTCTACATTCGAAATTCTAAATCCCAAATTTTAGATCCTAGATTTTAAATCTCAGATTCTAGATCATAAATTCTGAATCCTAGACCCTACATCCTAGATGCTAGATTTTGAAACTATATTCTAGATCCTAGATTCTGTATTCTAGATCCTAGATTATAAATCTCAGTCCGATTCCCAGATTCTAAATCCTAGATTCTCGATCCTAGATTCCAAATACCAGATTCCGGACCCACATTCTAGATTCTAAACTCTAGATCGTAAATTCTAAATCCAGACTTTAGATGTTAGATTCTAAATCCCAGATGCTTGATGTTAGATTATAAATCCCAGATTATAGATCTAAGACATTGCTAAGATTTCCCACTGAGACTTATCTGTATTTAAAAAATATAAATTTATTTTTGACTTCTGTGTTCTAAAACTATCCTATTTTCCAGAAAGTAGACAATAAATGAGAAATATTAAAAAATATATTTTGAAAAATTAATAAAAATACTAGAAGTTTGTGATAATCTCGCCAATAAAAGTCATAGCGTGTAAAATATTGCTCACAGATTACAAATTTGAGGTTGCCCTTTCTAAACATCTTCGCATAATTTAGAAAAATTTAAAAAATTTAGGATCTACAATCGAGTATCTAGAATTTGGGATATAGAATGTAGGATCTAGAATCAAGGATCCAGAATCTGCAATCTACGATCTAAAATCTAGGATCTAAAATTTGGGATTTAGAACCTAGGATCTAAAATCAGGGATTTAAAATCTAAGATGTAGAATCTAGGTTATAAAAAATAATATCTATGATCTACGATCTAGAATCTGGGATTTAGAATGTAATATCTAGAACCTAGGCTATAAGATCTAGAATCTAAGATATAGCGCCAGCATTTAAGATTTACAATCCGTATTTAGAATCTAGGATGTAGAATATAGCATCCAGAATCTGAGATTTAGAATTTAGGATCTAGAATCTGAGATTTAGAATCTAAAATCTGGAATCTAGGATTTAGAATCTGGGAACCAGACTCTGGGATTTATAATTTCGGATGTCGAATCTAGAATGCAAAATATATGATCTAGGATATAGGATCTAGAATATAGAATATAGTTTCAAGATCTAAAATCTGGAATTTAGATGGAATTTAGAATGTAAGATCTAGAACCTAGGCTATAACATCTAGAGTCTAAGATATAAAATATAGGGTCTAGAATCTAAGATTTACAATTCGTATCTGAAATCTAAGATGTAGGACATAGCATCCAGAATTTGAGATCTAGAATCTAAAATCTGGAATCTAGGATTTAGAATCTGGGAACCAAACTCTGGGATTTATAATCTCGAATGTAGAATCTAGAATACAAAATATATGATCTAGGATTTAGGACCTATAATATTGAATGTAGTTTCAAGAACTAAAATCTGGAATTTAGAATGTAACATCTAGAACCCAGGCTATAACATCTAAAGTCTAAGATATAAAATATAGGGTCTAGAATCTAAGATTTACAATCCGTATCTGGAATCTAAGATGTAGGATATAGCATCCAGAATCTGAGATTTAAAATCTAATATCTAGAATCTGAGATTTAGAATCTAAAATCTGGAATCTAGGATTTAGAATCTAGAATACAGAATCTATTTTTGAAGAAATAATGGCAAAAAAACCTTCTAGAGATCAAAATCTATAAAAAAAAACTCTTTTGCTAACTTTGAAAAAATGGTAGATATCTTCAAAGGAATTAAGCCAAAAATAACTTGTGAAGTTCAAAGTTTACAAAAAAAAATCTCTTTCGATAATTTTCGAAAGTGATCGAGAAAAGGTCAAAAATTTCTTAGAGTTTTTTAAAAACTAAAAAATGTTATCGATTCTGAAAAACGGTGGCAATTTTTGAATAAATAAAGCCAAAAAAAGTCTGGAGATCGAAATCTGTGGAAAAAAAATTTGGTAATTTTAGAAGGTGGTTGAAAAAAAACCAAAATTTCATAGAGAAGGATATTGAAAAATTGAGCTTTTGGGAAAGAAAAAGACAAATCAAAAACCTGAAAAATCGAAAAATTGAAGATACGAAAAATTGCAAAAACGCGAAATCGAGAAATCGGGATATCAAGAAGTCGAGAACACAAAAAGTTGAAAAACCAAAAATTCATAAATTGAAACATCAAGAAATCAAAATTCGGAAAATTGAAGAATCGAAAAATTGAAAAATCATTAAACTGAAACATCGCAACAAACTTTGAAGAATCGAGGAACTGAGGAATCGAAAAATTCAAAAATCCCAAAAAAATTAAGAAGTCCCGAAACTGAAACATCGAAAAATGTAAGTGGTTTTCCAAAAGTTTTGGAAAAGTTGATAAATAAAAAACCTCAAAAATCGACAAATGGAGAAACCGACAAATCGAAAATTTTGAAACGTCAAAAATGGATAAATTGCATTATAGAAAAATTTCAAAATTGAAAAATTGAAGAATCGAAAAATTGAAAAATCGCAGGAAAATTGAAAAATCGAGCAGTTGAAAAATCGAGAAATCGAAAAGTCGAAAAATGGAAAATTTTTAAAATTCGAAAATCGAAAAATGAAAAACTTGAGAAATCCAAAATTTGAGAAATTGAAAAACTGAAAAATCGAGAAGTCGAGAAATCAAAAAGTGAAGAACTGTAACATTGGAAAATTGAGAATTCGAAAAATAAAAACATCGAGAAATCGAAAATTTGAAGAAACGATAAATTGAAGAATCGAAAAACTGAAAAATCCCGAAACTGAAATATCGAATAATTGAAAAATTTAAGAAAAATTGAAGAATCGAAAAATAAAAAAATCCCATAAATAAAATATCGAAATAATGAGAAGTCATAAAATCGAAAACTAAAAAAACGAAAAACTGAAAAATTTAAAACCTGAAAAATCTAAAATTGAAGAATTGAAAATTGAAAAATAGAAAAATCGGCAATCGAGAAATCAAAAATTCAAAAAATGAAAAAATCGATTAATCGGGAAATCGTGAAATCGAAAAATCAAAAACATCAGAAATTGATAAATTGAAACATTGAAAAATTTAAAAATTGAAAGATTGAAGAATTGAAAAATTGAAAATGGTAAAACTGAAACAACGGAAAATTGAAAAATCGAAAATTTGAAGAATCGCGAAACTCAAGAACCGAAAAATTGAAAAATCCCAAAACCGAAAAACCTAAAATTTCATAGAGGATATTGAAAAATTGAGCTTTTAGAAAAGTCGCCTAAAAATTAGCAAAAAATTCTGCAATATAGATTTTCATGAGATGATTCGAAAAATATAGCGGCTTGAAAATTTCAAACCAAGATTTTCAAAATACTCTGGTTTGAATGAGCAACATGACAACTTTGAAAAAACGGTAGAAATCTTCGAAGAAACGAAGCCAAAAACAAATTCTGAAGTTCAAAGATTACAAAAAAATCCCTTTCGTCAATGTTTGAAAATGATCAAGAAAAGGTCAAAAATTTCGAAAGAAAAACTCTAAAAAATGCGATATTTTATCTTATCGATTCTGAAAAATGGTGTCAACTTTTGAAGAAATGCAGCTAAAAATAATTTCTGGACGTCGAAATCTATGAAAAAAAAACTCCTTTGGTAATTTTCGAAGGTGGTCGAAAGAGATTTAGATTTATTATGAACAATGAAGAAAAATAGTTTTAGACACCACATACAAACTTCTTCTTATCTTTCAGAAAAATATCGAACATCTCGTTAAATTAAGAAAAAAGTGATAAACCCATAGTGCAAAAACTCCCGTTTAACATTAATTAAAGCTTCAAGTTGTTTTTTAATTAATTTTTGTTGCAAAGTTGTTAGATTCTGCTGTACAGCCGGGCTTATTAAATAACAAAAAACCCGCCTTTGAAATTGGAAATCTAGCCTGATGAACATCGTGTTAAAGTGTAATTATCTTAGGAAAACGTAAATGGCACCATTACTGTGTAACCACATGAAAGTCAAAAAAACTTTAAGTTGAAATTCAAAACTCCGGATAATACGACATTTTTTTTTTAATTTACAACCCTCCTTAAGCTCCGCTCACACTTTTCCTCCCACAGACTTGACATTTCGCCAGAAAACGCCTCGTACGCCTTTTAAGTATTCACCATACGAAATTTCTATCCCAAGAACGAAAACCTGACACCCCGAACATTATTACCGAGCCATTAATCGGAAACCTTTTAGCCGTTCTTTTACTCAATTTATTCACTTCCAATAATTGAGCCAAAGGTTTCTATTTGTACTTTTTTCATTAAAAGCCGCAATTAGCGAAACGTCGAAAACTACTTCCTCGCGATTAGGCGTTCGTGTGGTCTAGTTTCACTTACCGGTGCAAAAAAATCCGATCAGAACCCACACACATGTCTGAACGTACATGTAGGACGGCATCGTTCATCACAAAAGTTTTTCACAACCATTGGTCTAGATTTAAACAACCACTAGAGTCCCGTCACATTACACTACACCCAAACACGAGGATCCTCTTCACAGCGATTAAGTCCCACCTGCAACAAAGACAAATTTTAGTCGGAGTTCGGCGGGGCAAATTTCTTTTCGTGACGAGTCATCGGACAAGAAGTGAACGTGCAAAGGTGCTAAACGACCACGTACTACTTTATTATTTGATACATTTCACAAATTTCACTTCATATGAGTACGATTATGAGTCAGGTTTGGGAAGACGGCACCGTTCTAGTGCTGTTGCATAAGAATTCGCAGGAAGAGATTATCAGTGGAAAAATTCGCGAATTGCTACACTAATTAAAAAGCACAACGAAAATGGACCGGAAATGCACAACTTTTGCTGAATTATTATAACGGTCCGAGATTTTGTTTTCACGAATGATCGTTAAAACAGTTAAAAATTGTCATTTGTTAATTAATTTACAACGTCGGAAGGTTTTTTTAATAAATATTTTTTACAAGTGAAAATAAAATCTCAGTCGGTAATAAAACACAGGCATCCCGAAATTTACTGAATGAAAATCCAAAAATTGTTTGCCTGACGGCTGTAAATGGATATGAAATCTCAAAAATAATAAAAGGCGAGTGTGAACAAATTTATACAATTACTTTTTTACGGTTATATGTACCGTATAAAACACGAGAAATTCAAGATATTTTAATTTAGAAGCTACTATAAATGTTAACAAAAACTTATTTTCAAGGTTTTTTATCATATGGAGTAATATTATTCCCAAATGTTTTTTTAATTTGAAAACTGTTTGAAAGCTTCTAAATTTTTTAAAGACTTCGAAAAACTCTTATAGGTTTTCAATGTCTTGTTTTAGAATTAGAAAAAATCTTACCGACCCCAGTTCGAAAAACTCTTATAGGTTTTCAATGTCTTGTTTGAGAATTAGAAAAAAATCTTACCGACCCCTAGTGTCTTTTTTATTTTGGGGGTCCTGAGTTTAAAAGATCCTAGGGAGCGCCAAGGAATGAGAGAATCGTAAGGACCCGTAGTACTTTATTTTTGAAAAAGTTTGAAAAAATCTAAAGGTATTCCCTACCTTATTTTAAAAGAATGGGGTAGGATCTTGGATGTTTCTGATCTCTTTTCAAGATCTGAAAAAATCTCGAGCGCTTTTGATTTTTTTTAAAAGTTCTAAAGACTCTTATAGGGCTTTAGAGTCTTTTTTAAGAATCAGAAAGAATCTCTGTATCTCTTTTATCTTGAGGAACCTGATATTTTATTTCTAAAAAGTTTGAAAGGATCTAAGGAGCTTCGAGTGTCGTATTTTAGAACGTAGAAGAGTCTTGAGGGTCGTAAATGTTTTTAAAGAGTTTGAAGGAACTGTAGAAGCCTTAGTGTCTTTTTCGAGATTGCGAGAAGATTTTTAAAAAATGAGAAAAGATTTTGGAGTCTCTAGTGTCTTTTTATATTTAAAAACATCTTCAGTGGTTTCGCTTTTTTTTAAGAGTTTGAAGGACTCTTCTAGGGCTTTATTGTCTTGTTTGAGTATGACAAAGGATCTGACGGACCCCTAATGTCTTTTTTGTCTTGAGGATTCTGGTATTTTATTTTCAAAGAGTTTGAAAGAATCTAAGAAGCTCCGAGTATTTTATTTTAAAGACCGTAGAAAAATCTTGAGGGTCCCGAATGATTTTAAAGAGTTTGAAGGAATCTTGGAAGCTGTAGCGTCTTTTTTGAGAATGCGAGGAGATCTTTGAAGAATGAGGAAAGATCTTGGAGTCTCTAGTGTCTTTTTGGAGTTTTAACTCCTTTCTTTTCCTATTATAGAACACGTATACGACGCGCACCGGAACAGGATGTCGATTGTTGAGTTCGAGCTAGAATTCGGTGTCGGTGTCGGTGTTGGTGTCGGTGTCGGGGCTCTTAATGCTTTTTTAAGACTTTGAAGGAAACTTGGGGGCCCCTAGTGTATTTTTGAAAACAAGAGAAGATCTTAAAGGAACGTGAAAAATCTTAAAAGAATGTGAAAAGATCTTTTGGGTCCCTAATGTCTTTTTTAAATTTAAAAACATCTTGAGGGATCTTGTTTTTTTTTTAAGAGTTTGAAGGACTCTTGTAGGGCTTTACTGTCATGCGTAAGTATGAGAAAGGATCTGACGGACCCCTAGTGTCTTTTTTATCTGGAGAATTCTGTATTTTGTTCTCAAAATGTTTGAAAGAATCTAAGGAGCTCCGAGTGTTTCATTTTAAAATCCGTAGAAGAATCTGGAGGATCCCGAATGATTTTAAAGAGTTTGAAGGAATCTTGGAAGCTGTAGCGTCTTTTTTGAGAATGCGAGGAGATCTTTGAAGAATGAGGAAAGATCTTGGAGTCTCTAGTGTCTTTTTGGAGTTTTAACTCCTTTCTTTTCCTATTATAGAACACGTATACGACGCGCACCGGAACAGGATGTCAATTGTTGAGTTCGAGCTAGAATTCGGTGTCGGTGTCGGTGTTGGTGTCGGTGTCGGGGCTCTTAGTGCTTTTTTAAGACTTTGAAGGAAACTTGGGGGCCCCTAGTGTATTTTTGAAAACAAGAGAAGATCTTAAAGGAACGTGAAAAATCTTAAAAGAATGTGAAAAGATCTTTTGGGTCCCTAATGTCTTTTTTAAATTTAAAAACATCTTGAGGGATCTTGTTTTTTTTTTAAGAGTTTGAAAGACTCTTGTAGGGCTTTACTGTCATGCGTAAGTATGAGAAAGGATCTGACGGACCCCTAGTGTCTTTTTTATCTGGAGAATTCTGTATTTTGTTCTCAAAATGTTTGAAAGAATCTAAGGAGCTCCGAGTGTTTCATTTTAAAATCCGTAGAAGAATCTGGAGGATCCCGAATGATTTTAAAGAGTTTGAAGGAATCTTGGAAGCTGTAGCGTCTTTTTTGAGAATGCGAGGAGACCTTTGAAGAATGAGGAAAGATCTTGGAGTTTCTAGTGTCTTTTTGGAGTTTTAACTCCTTTCTTTTCCTATTATAGAACACGTATACGACGCGCACCGGAACAGGATGTCGATTGTTGAGTTCGAGCTAGAATTCGGTGTCGGTGTCGGTGTTGGTGTCGGTATCGGGGCTCTTAATGCTTTTTTAAGACTTTGAAGGAAACTTGGGGGCCCCTAGTGTATTTTTGAAAACAAGAGAAGATCTTAAAGGAACGTGAAAAATCTTAAAAGAATGTGAAAAGATCTTTTGGGTCCCTAATGTCTTTTTTAAATTTAAAAACATCTTGAGGGATCTTGTTTTTTTTTTAAGAGTTTGAAAGACTCTTGTAGGGCTTTACTGTCATGCGTAAGTATGAGAAAGGATCTGACGGACCCCTAGTGTCTTTTTTATCTGGAGAATTCTGTATTTTGTTCTCAAAATGTTTGAAAGAATCTAAGGAGCTCCGAGTGTTTCATTTTAAAATCCGTAGAAGAATCTGGAGGATCCCGAATGATTTTAAAGAGTTTGAAGGAATCTTGGAAGCTGTAGCGTCTTTTTTGAGAATGCGAGGAGACCTTTGAAGAATGAGGAAAGATCTTGGAGTTTCTAGTGTCTTTTTGGAGTTTTAACTCCTTTCTTTTCCTATTATAGAACACGTATACGACGCGCACCGGAACAGGATGTCGATTGTTGAGTTCGAGCTAGAATTCGGTGTCGGTGTCGGTGTTGGTGTCGGTGTTGGTGTCGGTGTCGGGGCTCTTGCTGGTTTTTTTAAGACTTTGAAGGAAACTTGGGGACTTCTAGTGTATTTTTTGAGAACGGAAGAAGATCTTAAAAGAACGTGAAAAGATCTTAAAAGAATGTGAAAAAATCTTTTGGGTCCCTACAGTCTTTTTAAATTTGGAAACATCTTGAGGGCTTCTATTTTTTTTTAAGAGTTCGCAAGACTCTTGCAGGGTTTTAGTGTATTTTTTAAGAATCAAAAAGTATCTTACGGACCCCTAGCGTCATTTCTATCTTGGTGTTCGTTGGTGCTTTATTTTTGAAAAACTTTGATACAATCTAGAGATCTCCGAGTGTCTTTTTTTTAAGAATGTAGAAGAATCTTGGAGGACCCGATTGTACGTCTTTTAAAACAGAATCTTGGGGGCTCCTGATGCTTTTTTAAGAATTTGAAGGATACTTGGGGGCCTCTAATGTATATTTTGAGAACCAGAGAAGATTTTAAAAGAACGCGAAAAGATCTTAAAAGAACGTGAAAAAATCTTTTGGATACCTATTTTCTTTTTAAATTTGAAAACATCTTGAGGGCTTCTAACTTTTTTTGAGATTTTGGAGGGTTTTAGTGTCTTTTTTAAGAATCAGAAAGGATATAATGGACCTCTAGAGTCTTTTTTATCTTGGTGGTCCTTTGTTTTTGAATAAGTTTGAAACAATCTAGGGATCGCCGAGTGTCTTTTTTTAAGAATATAGAATAATCTTGGGGGACCCGATTCCATGTCTTTTAAATTTGAAATCGAAGAAATCTTAGGAGCTCCTGGTGTTTTTTTTTAAGAGTTTGAAGAAACCTTGGGAATCTCCAGTCTTAATTGGAGAGTATCTGAGGAGCTCCGAGTGTCTTATTTTAAAGAACGTAGAAGAATTTTGAGGGTCCAGGGTATTTTTAAAGAGTTTGAAGGAATTGTGGGAGCCTCTAGTGTCTTTTTTTAAGAATGTAAAAGATCTGAAAGGTCCCAAGTGTTTTTGGAGTTTCCGGTGTTTGTTGTTCGAGTTTGAATGAATCTTAATGTCCCTAGAGGTTTTTTAAAAATGCGAAAAAATCGAACGGACCCGTAGTGTTTTATTTTTTTAAAGTTTGAAAGAAACTTAAAGATCTCCTGTTTTATTTTTAAAAGAATATGGTAGGATCTTAGAGGTCTCTAGTGCTTTTTTTTTCAATTTGAGAAAATCTTAAGGGCTTGTGAGTTTTTAAAAGAGTTCGGCTAATTTTTATAGGGCTTTAGTGTCTTTTTAAGAATCTGAAAGAATCTTACGAGGCCTTAATGATTTTTTTATCTTGGAGGTCCTTGCTGTTTTATTTTTGAAAAACTTTGAAAAAATCTAAGAAGCCCTGAGTATTTTTTTTTAAAAAGC